CATTTTTCTCACAAATGCACACGCAGAAAAAAAAGACATATGTGGAAGGCTTTGCCATGTCACTGCCCTCCCCCCTCTCTGCTCTCTCCCTTTCTGGACTTTGGTTGTTGATGATGAGGTGATGGGGCTGATGAGGTGTTGGTTGCGCACTGCCACAAACTGCCGGGCTGAATAGAAGAAATGTGTGAAGGAAGTCGATCCCTCGCCCAAGTGTTCAAGAATTGATTTGCCAGTCGCTCAAGAGTGACAAAGGAGTGAGAAATCCAAACATACCTGTCCGAATGGGAAGCTGTGAGTCTAACAATGTGGCAAGGAAGGAAATGAAAAGGAACAAATAAAAGAAGGGTACCTTTATGCACGTGGCAACTCCGCACAGCTTTTCATGCAGAACAATCCACCTTCAACAAAAGATTTTATTCACTATTCTGCTTCTGAAGCCACGTTTGAACGTCAAGGGCAGCTCATGTAACGCTCGTCTCCTCCACTGCTCACAAACATAGCTGTCATTTCAGGCCATTGCCGTGAATAGCGGTTTGAATCCCCTATTTGGCGTAACGTTGATACGCATAATCGAGATGGAATGGCCTGTAGACCTGTAGACCAGCCACGATGCTGTCATCATATGAACCCCGGTCGACATACGTCACCCCATGTTGACAGTTACCATTAACATATCAAAGCCTGCCCTGCGCCAGCTCATTGGAGGTGAAGCTCTGCCTGCGCTGTATGTGGTAATGCTAATGCACTTCACCTTTTATGTTTGTCGCTCTGTTTCAGGTTGATGTTTCTTTAAAGTGGAGTTCAAAAGGAGTTGAAGCCGCCGAGCATGCAAATCTGAAGGAAAGGAAAAGTGAAGTGGGTATCTTGTTTTGGAAATGATGCATTTAGGTGGCTGGGAAAATTAATCAGGCTAACTGCAATCACCATGTCTGGAAGGTTATTCTAAGAGGCTTCATTATACTCTTTTTGGAAAACAAATGAGTCATTGAAACAAAGGCAAAGTAGTATCCTTGAAATGACACCACTTCAGTACCAAAAGATCCGCCAAGTCCATCAAGTGTAATTGTGCTACTTTGCAATTCATGAAACTTGAAATGAGTTCAGCCAGAAAGCGGTTATTTGCACATATCCATTGTGAAGAATGAGCATCGTCCCTCCTATAAAACAGGATTTTTTTTTTTTTGATGTGGAGAGATATGGCAATGTTGCTCTCGACGAGGAAAAAGCTGAGGAAACTTCAACAACATTGACAATTCGGCTTAAAGTTTAGCTTAGTTTCCGTTCTTTTATTTACACTTTTTATCTAGTTCCTTCATTAGCAAATGTTTCTCAATCAATACGGATATTTCCTATTTCATCAGCAACTATCAGGGTGCGCATTGGTTCTCATTTTGATCAGAAGGCTACATGAAACAAAACCAAATTCCCATCTCATGTTGGAATGGCAGTATTGTAGTATTGAAGTATTGAATCGTGACTGCCTTCATCGTGTAACTGTCCTGCGTTAAAACAAAAAAGGATCTCTGGTGAGTTAGAACAAGTTAAGAACAATTGTGGAAAGATTGATTATTGTTATTATGCTTGAAGGTGCACATAGTCACCATTGAAACAAACTGCCGTGACCTGAAATAGCAGTTTTTTTGCGTGTACTTGGTTTTCTTTCAAGTGTTCTTGAGTGAGGCTTAGAAGAGCAGCAGTCCAGGCAGTATTTCCTTGAGTGTCTTTGCTACCAGAGTTTGCATATCCCGCGATGTAGACATGACATCCAAGAGAACCCAAAGTGTCTGGAGGAAGCGTCGGCACACGCTCAATCACTCCACTCCACAAATTGATACTTAAGGGCATCATTGTATACCGTGGAGCCCCTCACTGGCACTTGTCCTCCAAGAGGAGAGCCGTAGATGTAAGAATGTAAAAAAGGCTGCGCGACACAACATTTCTGGATTCCCACTTTGTTACACTGGGCTTCCCTTTGGCCCAGTTACAAGCTGTTCTGTCAACAGCCAGATAACTTTAAAACGTATCTATTGGGACCAGCCTGTGCTGTATGAGCTGAGCCACGTGCCCGACCACAGAGATCTTTCCATGGCTCCCAACAAACTCCATTTTGAATTGCAGCGGCTGAGGCTCTCATTTGAGCAGGTGTAATCAGATCAAGTGGAGCCACATGAAGCCCGAAACGCCAGTGAGGGATGGGGAACCTGCGTGGCAGCTAAATGAAATCAATGAGATAATCAATAAGTGGGGGCTGAGAGAAGAGGATTACCGAGACCTGGAGGAAACACTCGGGAGGCCATTCACTCATCTTGATTAAAGGCCTCGCTTGGTGGGTTGACATGGGCAGCGGGCAGTGGGTTGACACCCGATCTGTGTCAGTTATGAGTGGAGATCCTTTTAATTACTCTGGATGGTTGCTCTATAGTCTGTCTGGCTGACACGGGAGTATAAATTGGAATATTTGAACTCCTTGTTGTTTGAACATATTATCTGCCTACGTTTGAACGCCTGACTGCTTTGAAAGTACGATGACTCAAATTATTTTATGTAAAGGGCCTTTGTTGCCAGCCAGGCGGGGGTCTAAGTCTCTGTCTTACTCGAGCTCTTGCTTAGTCGTCATGAAGCCAAATATACAACTATAGACTGATTATCCACTCTTACGATGACTTATAATGAGAAGGATCAGGAAAAATTCCAGGCAGCGCAAACACATTTTGTTTCAAGAATTCCCTTTGTGGATGTAGTTACACGTGCTTCAAGATGTGGTTGCATATCAGAATGTGTATTTAAGAGCCAAGTGATTACACAAGCTAATGCATGCTGTGTTTCCTGTCATGTAAAAACGTTGAGCACATTCAAGGTTTTACTGATCTCAGTCAGTGGCGCTGATTCCAAGCCCAACATCAAAGAATGGAGGGCATTCCACACAGTGACTATTGTGGCTTACAAAGAACATTCCCACTAATAAACCCAACCACTGAGACTTACAAGACAAGTGCTTTTCATGGGATGGGCTGATAAAAAAACACCTTTAAGTCCCCGGTGAGAAGCCACTGATAATCACTACTACAAACACGGATGGGCCAGAAGCAGCAGCGAGGGTTGCAGTGGCTGCAGAGTTTGAAAGTGAAGGATAACTGGCAACTCTTCAGTGCAACACATGGGACTTTCATCAGAGCCAACATCAAAGGCCAATGCCAGTGCACCAAAGCTTTTAGGGGATTTCTACAAAACCTGAACATGAGCACCCACACCAAATCTGACCCGAGGGAGTCCGGTAAAAGCTAGCCACTGACACTTTAGCGCTAATTAAATGGAAAGACTGGTGTTTGGGATTGATTTTCCAATCACCATGCACCATACATTTGTAGCTCTTAACGGTACCCGAGACATAACATGCAATGTATGAATATGCTGAATGACAGATTGTGTCATTTGCAATGTGATATGTTTCCATTGCTACCTCAGTTCATGGTATTAAACCAGTGTTCCGCTTAATTGCATTTTTTATTACATTGGGGTGGGGGGGTATTATTTTCCTCCGGACTATGGTCGCAGTTTTGAATGATTTAAAAAACCCGGTCAACATTGTGAATAGTAACAAAACAAGAACGATATGCTACAGTTTTTTTACTGTTCTGTAAGAAAGCATGGAACATAAAATCACTGCAAAACTGAAACAAAGCAAATATGCAACGAGTACATGGTTATGTTCTGGCAATAAAATGACCTCGTTCACATGGAACATGAACAGCCGTGTCCACATTTTTTTTCCACTCTATATACAAACCTCTGCGGTGTCATTTGAAGATTTCCTTGTGATATTTCAAAACCAAACGTTCAACACAAAAATGTGCGTCTCTTGAAATGTTTTTCACATTGCCGTTTTGGTGTTATGGGAAATTCCTTTGGAAGAGACTGGAATAGTTCTCAAAGTTATAATTCAAAGCAACCACATTAACAAAAAAATAAGGTCAAATGCAATAACACACAATGCAGATGTGCCCGAGGTAGCACAAAAACAAGACACAAGGTTAGTACTGGGTGTTTGAGTTCTAATGGCAATTTCGACTGTTGACTAACCAGCTCTTTTTTCTTTTTGCAGAGGAGTACCCCTGAAGCAAAGCAAACTCCAGCTTCCGAATACGGAAAAATAAAAATGTCCCATATCCTCTGGGTTATACTAAAGCACGACCATTGAGACGTAAACCAAAGCTAAGTGTACGAGGTGTGCAGATGATGTTTTCCCCGCTGGAAGTGTTGCCAGCTCCTCCGGGGAACTATCACACAAACCACGGATGGCCTGCTGCGCCACAGCAGTGTTGGAATGCTGTGTGCCCAGCGTGCAAAAGAGGCTGGTCCTCTCCGCTGTGGTTCTAACAGCTATTATCCATCGCATTAATGAATGGATCCTACTGTTAGACACAGAGGCTCTCGGAACTACAGCAAAGGAGCGCCTGGCACAAGCTGAGCTCGAAATGAGACATTTTGATAAAACGGAAAGCACGCTGCTGCGCTTGATGGCCTTTTGTTTACCATTTAATGTATGTTCTAAAACATTAGTAGTGTTAAACCCATAGCAGTATGGCAATGTGTTCACATTCTGCTCATCCAGACATTCATAACAGTTTTATTTTTTATCCACTGGTCCCCATTGATGTTGGAGTGTCGGGCCTTTCATGATAATCCAGCCAGCACTGCAGTGTAAATGTGTCATTTTCTCTCCAAGGTACTCGGGACTAGCGTCTAAGAGTCATGATAGCTTGGTCTAAAAATAAGTGTCTGAAGATGTGATTATGCAATACTGTGTAAAAACATCCATTATACTGTAGTTCATCGTAAGGAGGGAACATGAATTCCACCTTATTTCAAAATGTTTTCCACATTGAAGAAGAATGACGTGAGAGAGTGTAGTTGAACAAATTATAGGTATAAATCCAAACTGTCACATGTGTCATAACGCCAACTGAGTCAAATCCAATGAGAATTCCCAACGGCAAACATTGTTGTTTTACTCAACCTCAACCACACTTTATTTAACAAAATAGAAGCAGGTCAAATATCGCAAAGCATATAAATGTAACTTTGAAACACATCGTTTGAAAATTATGACAAATCATCAGTGGTCTGTGGCACAGTAATACTCCACAGAAGAGACACGTAGTTACCCCAAAAGCCCCCCCAACAACACGCGTTGTGATTTGACAGCGAAGCGGGGGAGTTGAGGGGGGAGCAGGGCGACTGGACAGAAACGCAGGGAGGGGACGACAACGATGGCGATGACGACGATGAGTGTTTTGTCAAAGATCTGCTGAGATGTTAGTCCCCAAGGTCAAGCTGCGCATGGTTACATGGTGGTAATGGGAAGGGGGGGCAGCGGGAGAAGTAAGGGTGAATACACATGCATGCAAATTGTCACGCAGCTGCTCTCTCTCCCTCCCTCTCTCTCTTGCTTTCTTTTCATTTGTCCTCACACAAACACACACGTGCGGGGGCAGGCAGACAAAAGGAAGCCGGGGAATGATTCAGCACCATGGACAGCGCCGGTCTGTAAACTGGGGGAGATACTGCAGGCCCGCTCGCTGGTGGAGGAAAGGGGAGGGTCATCATGGCCATGGATTTTCGGGGATTGTTGCCAAATTTTTTTGAAATCTTGTCTAAATTAGACAATCAATTGGCAAAGTCAAAAGATGCCACCAGCAGTGGAACGGTACATTATAAATACAAATAAGCGAAGAAGAAAAAAATTGCACATTTCCTGCATCTGTTTTAGCCAGAGAAGTTATAGATAATTGAGAATTTGTTGAATTGACCCCAATAGTTAATTGTTTTTAGTTGTTGTGTTTTTGTTGTTCTCTTCCCAATCCAGACTTAGTTTAAGCAGCATAGGCTAAGCAGCAGACCCGACAGCTGAGCTCTGCAAAACAGGTATTCAGTCATGGCATTGTTTTCACAAGCCCACTAAAACCATGCGACCCCCCTGAGAAGGAGGGGTATCTCAAGTTCAAAATGCTGAATTGAAAAGGCATCTTGCCTTGTTAACTTCCTTCTGCTTTTGTGTGCAAAGGTTGTGTGTGCCTTTCTTTTTGTCATCCCCCCAGTGAAGAAGAGCCACTCCTGCGTCTCTATTGACCAGGCCACATGCTGAGTTCTAGCATGGCCCCAGTTTGATAGAAAGCAATGACCCTTCCCACCCCCCTCTCCCCCCCAGTCCCAAAACAGACGGTTTCAAGCACATTTTGTAGTAAATACAGTGAGTTTCAGTTCTCTTATTTGGACAAGATTAGATGGCTTTACAAAAGCTCACAATAGGATGAAGGTGAATCATAGCCATAAGCTTTTCATGTTAAGGAATACTTCTTTTTCTGACATTAAAAAAAGCATTCTATTCTAAATCAGTCTACCTGCGCTGTTTACATAGATCGAATTATACCTACATAGCTCAATTCTTTGCTCAGTTGTTGAAAAAATATGATGGTAGAAACCCCCCGTTTAAATGACCTTTTTGTTCTTTTTGTCATCCTCTCACCCAAAGCAGGCTATATTCATTGACACACAAAACCACAGAACTGTTATTTTAGCTACATTAACTTTGCAGCAGAAGCATCAGAGTGACGTTAATTGGTCATGCTCATCTGCATGTCTGAATATCTGAAAGTCAACAATTGGCACACCATAAAATAACACAGTTTACATTCATAAAGGAGATGATGACTGCGCAGACATGGATTTAATCTGCACATAGTACGGTATAAATAACTCCAATATTTATCGACAATCAAATGATAACAAACAGAAAATAACATGCACCGACAGCGTCATGTCCATCACTTCTTTCTGATAGTCATCATGAATCCCCAATTGATTTTTTTTTCTTCTTTCTTTTGTCCAAACAAGTTTAAAACAACAAATACAAATCCTAACCGCAGGTTCACGAAAAATAGAGAAATGGCACTTTGTAATAGTCATATATAATTCTTAATATCTATATATTGTCGTCATATTGATATAACATGAAAGAGTCGAGTTTGTTTCTTTGTTGGTTAAGGTGGTTATGGTTCCTCGCCGTCGTGTGTGTGTTGAAACCATGCGAAATATCATCATGCAGATTATGATACATCGGTCCGAGTATTTACATTTACATTCATGCGTTCGTGCACCATTCCCTGGGTCTTCGCTCTCTCTCTCTCTCTCTCTCTCTCTCTCTCACACACACACACACACACACACACACACACACACGCCCTCTCCCACGCTCCTTTTTCTCCCTATTTTCTGGCTCGTACAGATCCGTAGTCCGATTGCGGCAAATAGCAGAACTGGGAGGAGGGAGGAAGGAAGGAGGGGTTTTAAACCAGGGGGGCGGGGGACTTGGCATATACATATATTACAGAGTTGGGCCTGTGCAGAAGCAGACTGACTTACTTGGTTCAACTGGAGAAAACAAGACATAAACAAGTCTGTGTTCGCCTATAGGACGAACAGAAGCGGGTGGTTTCTGGCCGTTTTCAGTCATGTATGTGCGTCTGTCTGTGGGACTGTTTGTAATCCAGTCTGGTCCGGGTGTATTGTACAAGACCGCCGCCGGGTCCCCTTTACGCGTCGTTTGTCGTGGACAGGTGCGTGGTGCAGTCGAAGCCACGGTGCGCGCCCCCGTCTGCGTGATACGACCCGCTGTGCCAATAAGACGAATCGCACACTGTCTGTAAGGAATTGATCTCCGAGGCGGACGAGTTGCCCTCCCTCCGCTTCGATCGCTTTCGGTTCCGCAGGATGAACACAAGCATCCCCACGACAGTGAACGCGGACGTGACAAACACCAGCAGCAGCCCGGGGACGAGCACCGAGATGGAGACCCTGTTTGGCTCCAAATAAGAGTTCGAGCGCGTCCCCGAGTCCAGGGTGAAAGTGCTGTTTTTGGACAGCGGGGTGGGGGACACCTTGTCGTAGAGTTTGGGGCACATGAGGTCGTTCCGGACGTGGCGGAAATCTCGTTTCCAAAACTCTTCGGGCGACTCGCACTTGAGATCGCTCACGATCACGTCGGCCGCGAGTTTCTCCGTCCACTGCTTGAAGGGCACGATGTTGCACGAGCAATCCCACGGGTTCCCGTGCAAATCGATCTGTATGATTGAACTGAGCTGGTCCAGCACTCCGACCACAGGGAGATAGGGGAAATAATTATTATGCAGACTAATTTTGGACAGAGAAATCCCAAGGAAAGCATCCACGGGTAATGATTTCAGCAAGTTGTTGTTGAGGAACAGAACCCTCAGGTTCGGCATTGGGCTGAATGCACCCGCCACTATAAGCTGGATGTCGTTGTATTCCAAACTGAGGTATTCCAGATTCACGAGGCCCACGAACATCTCTGCCATCAGCGTATCCAGATAGTTCTTATCCATATACAGCCACCTCAGCTCGCTCTGATTTTGGAAGGTGCTGTTGTCAATCATCTTGATGTTGTTCCCACCCAGATCCAGCAGGTTGAGGCTGGAGTAGCCGAGCAGCTGGTTCTTTTTCACGGCGTGTATGTTGTTTTCTCTCATGTTCAATTCGTGCGCAGCCAGGGGCTTGGGTTTGAGGTTGGACAAGTTCTCGATCTTTTTTCCCTCGCAGTTGACCCCCAGTCCCTGTCTGGAGCCGACCAGCTTGCAGTTGCACGGCAGGGGGCACGTCACGTTGTGCAGTAGCTCCCCGTCCCCGTTCACACCTGTCAGCAACGGAGTGGGCCTCGTCTTCAGCTGCCAGTTCTCACGAGATTTGGAGCGGCTCTTGGGCCCGTGGCTGCCGGGCGTCGGAGGCCCGCTGGTGTCTCTGCTGGGCTTGTGGGGCGTCGGGCGCGGGTCGCGGGCCGCGGCCTCGGAGGTCTCCTCCTGGGTGGGAGGGGCGACCAGGCTGGTGTCCACGCTGCCGCTCTGCGAGGGGCACATGTCCACCTCCGACGTCTCGTTCAGGTCGCTCCCTTGCAGCCTGGTGGGAGCCTCGCATACCACCCTGCCGATAAGCGCGTTATGCGGTATGTTCTCCAGCCATTCCTTCAGAGAAACCAGGTCGCAGTTACAGTCCCATGGGTTGTCCTCCAACAAAACCTCCGCAATGCCCGGTATTTGTTCGAGGACCCCCTCATAAGGCACCGTTTTGATTCGGTTCCCCCGCAGGTCGAGATGCGTAATGGGCACATGTTGAAACACGTTTATAGGTAGCGCACTGATGAGGTTGTCGTTGAGTATCAACACTTCAAGTTTATTTAAGTCCCTGAAAACGGCGGGGTCGATATCCCTCAATAGATTAAAATCAGCTTGGAGATATTCCAAGTCGTCTAACCCAAGAAACGTACTCTTCCTGAACGATCGGATCTTATTGTTATTGATGTGCAGCCTCTTCACCAGCTGCAGTCCCAGGAAGGCACCGGGAACAATGTCGTGCAAGCCATTGTTTTCCAAATGCAGGCTCACGGCATTGTAAAAGTTGGCGAACTCGTTTGGGAAAAGCCTGGATAGAGAATTCCCGTGCAGAAGCAAGTGATAAAACTGCGAGCTCGGGCCAGTCAGATGCTGCAGAGTGGTGAAGCTCTTTTTTTCGCAGTCTATGTGCAGATCTCCCTCCACATCGTTGCAGGAGCATATCTGCTCCTTACAAATGTCCCTTGTAACATTTCTACTGGCAACACAAAGAGCCGCATTCAGCAGAACAATCCAAAGCAGCATTTTTCAACGTGGACAATTCATTCCTGGTTTCAAGTCATACGAGCTGTGAATTCAGTCTACATCAAGAAGAAGAAGAAAAAAAGAATGGGCGAGATATAAGCATTTAGGGGGAAGATAAGACATGCTTTTATAACCGATCCATGCTGCGTCTAACCTGCACTTGTTTCCAGACTTCCAGTTCGAAAACGGCCACATAAACGTCTCTTTCACATAAACCGAATCCTCGGAGCCTCCGCGTATTTACGATGAAAAAAAACAGCGAGCGACAGTCGAGTCCAGCACATCTGTCGTTCTTCCTTTTTCTTTTTCTTTTTTTTTTAGCAGTTTTCAGTTCGTTTTAAGACTGACCTTGGCTGGAAAAAAACCAACAAATCCGTGCCTTTTTCTCGTCCGGTCGCGCCGCGCGCTGCGGCGTCGGGAGCTGTTCCCTCTCCCTCGGTGCTGAATTCACACCCCGCGCTGGAGCTGTATCGACGATCCCACCGCTGCAAAACACCCGCATCCCCGCTCACATCCTTCGGCGTCTTGCCTCGCTCGTCCCCCCACCACCCCCTCCCACCACCACCCTCCCTTTTTGTGGCGATCTGGGAATCACAAAAGGAGGAAAGCGGAGACAGTGTTCACCCTAGTGCGATGCTCTAAGAATAATCTGACACCCTCTACTGAGCTGTAATGGGAAAAGGAAAAAAAAAATCCGTCGGCTGACTGAGGGAATGCTGAGAAGAGAGCGCCTCCAAAAAAAAATCAATTCCGCAATACAAGGGCGAGATTTGTTGTTGTTGTTTAAATCACACTTTGGAGGGTTCGATGCTCAGGTCATCTCTCTTCCAGAGGAACAATACGAGGTCTGAGGCAACAAACTAGACTGCGATGTTCTCACTCTTAAAGCCCGCAGCTCCACGGTGAAAGTGTCCAAGTGGGGCAGCGTTCCAACCCCTGGGGAGATTTCACATAAGGGTCGGGATTTCTCAGTTCAGTCCCTTGACCCCCCCCCCCCCCCCCCCATCCGCGCGCCAACCCCACCGCCGTTCTTAAAGGATAAACGGCACTACTTTAGCGGATCGCTCTCCGTATGAACCACTACTCCGGTGCCGACGTTTACCCTTTTCTTCGGAAACACTGTTGAATGCGGTTACAAAACAATAAGCCGCTACAAGCATGGCTCACTCCAGCAAAGAAAAAAAAAAAAAACAGTTGACTATACAACAAACGATGCGTCAGTGTGGCACCATATATGCGCATGTGTGCGTGACGTTTTTTTTTTTTTTGTATCTTTATTTTTGGCCAGTATCAAATCTACAATAAGAAGGCAATGACAAGTGCAGTGGTTTGAACACAATCACACCTCCTATTGATTTGTAGCGTTCTGTTGTTTAAGAAGTATTACATCAACTGAGACATAGGAGAGTTGAGGTAGTTGTACCCTCCTCCTCCTTCTGCAGTGCTCAGTTGGAATTAGGAGCAGGGCAGAAAATGGGATGCTAAGTTAAGTACGGTCGCCCTCTCTCAGCCATCTTTTTTTTTTAGTGCAGATAGGAAACGGCACACAAGTGGAATCAGAGACTAATTTAACGGAGGCCGGAGATTCCAGCAATGCATCAGCGGCACTTTGACTGAGCGAAACGCCATTAGGACCTGTTGTTGTAACCTGTTGTTGTAAAACATTCCCATTATGGTTCATTGACTGGTTGTTGTTTTCCCCTACCTGCCCGCCTGACAATCTGATCTGTCTTATGTTGACTGTTGCTTGTCAACTGGTCTGCCCGTTGGCTTGTCCGTCTCTGTTGTTCTTGATGCTTTTTTCTGGCTGCCAGGTGTGTGTGTGTGTATTGTATCATGGAGCATAATTTAATTGTGTTAATGATATTTACACTCGGTCTCCATGAAATGAGAAGGCACAAGATCAATATGTGGTGGGATGTTCTTTTTTCTTAAGTGCTGTACTGTGGGACAGTTTTGATATGCTTTGTAGATTATTACTTCATGCTGCTTTGAAGTATAGTTTACTGAGATTATTGATTATTGATTGAGATTATTAATATATGATATAATCCCAGTTATCTGATGTAAAATGAAGATACCTGTGTGTGTGTGTGTGTGTGTGTGTGTGTGTGTGTGTGTGTGTGTGTACAATAGTTGAATTAGGTCAAAACGAAATGTAAAGGAGTCTATTTGTGTGAAACCTGTGGTTTAATGGTTCTGATTTACGTGTGTATTTAAGGCGATTCCCAACGTGTCTGTCTGTTGTCGCCTGGTGTTGTTATTGACAGGCGGTTCTGTCTGTTGCGCTCCATCTTTGAGATAATGATACAGCCTTGAGGAATGCAACAATTCAGATAGTGTAACAGTGATTGCCTTTTCAGCGCTTCTCATCGTCATTGTTTGCCTGGTGCAGACGCCGTTGAGGCCCACCAACACCACAGCCAATCAATGGCATTCAATCAGATGGCAATGTTGTGCAACGAGATTACTTGTAATTTCCCACTCCCGTTCTTGCTCTCCGATTGCGCGGATCTCCGTAAACAGCCATCACCAGCAATCACCGGCTGCATGTGGTAAGTGACGTGCGTGATGCATCTGTACGTCACATTTGAGGATATTTTGCATACCTGTTTAATTCATCCCTGAGAGAGAGACATATTCAAAGCATCCTGGGATTTATCAGGCTAAGCCAACATGGGTTTTTTTGGTCTGAAAATCTGCCCGACCTTCCCTCGGGTATGCATGTATTTAAAGGCTTATTTTTCTTCTTTCTCTAAACGATTAAGACATTCACTGAGCTCATGTAGTGGCTTTGCAACCAGGATAGAGACAACAAGCTATGCTGCTGAATCCGAATCCCTCCACTTAGCAGGTTTCAATCAAAGTGTCTCATCAAACAGCAAATAAGATCTTTTGCCCTCTTAGATTCTGCACTCATCGAGGTTTTCATTGTTTTATTTTGGAGTTTTGGAGCAAACACATGCCACATCAGCTCCAGATGTGCATGCTCATTTTCTGAGAGTGGTGCTCTCTCCTAAGGCTTCAAAGGCCATAGGTTTTGAGGGACTGAAATACTCTACGGGTAATTACAGAAAGGTCAGGAGCAATCTGAAGCTTGTTTTCACGTAAGCATTTTCAGCTCAGAGTGTGCGGACGGCATTCAAAATGAAACATGGGGGTTTGTGGCCATTCATGCATCGGGCGTAAATCATGTTTGTATCAGCAAGTAGATTAGCTGAACTGTCAGGGTGCAGGGCTATTACACGATTTTAAGTATTATCTGACATCTTGCCAAACCTTTTTTCTCTTTTTTTTTATATTCTGTTACTGACGGAAACAAGGTCCCAAATCCTCATTGAAGCCAAGAGAAGCAGGATATGATTAAAATATATGGCATGATTCAGAATAACACAAAACAGCCTGTACGCCACCAATGAGAAAGGTCATTTTTCTGTGGGGCTGAAAGGGGACACATTAAATCCACGCCTTGCTTCTTAATACTTACATTCACGGATGGACCTAATTGTTGAATGCCTTTTTATCAGCTTTAAAAAAAATGATGCAGCAAAGGTCTTGCAGATGTGTCATGTACAGAAAAAGACGAGTCAAGTCCAAACCAGAAGTCAATAGAGCCATCGGCAGAGTTAGCAGCACTGGTCCCGATGCATCGACCCGGTGATGCTGCACGGGGAATCAGCACAATGTTGGACTTTAAATCTATAGGCATCCACCCGTAAACCAAATTCCCCCACCCCACCCTCTCGCCGCTGTCTTTACTATCAACAAAACTCACAGCTGACCTGCTGAAAGCCGACTGAGATCCCGGGGAAGCAGGGCAGAGAGACTAAACATGTAAATTGTGGTCTGAATCAGTGATGGAAAGCAGACTTTTCTTTTCACTAAAGAAAAATGAATTTTCTTTGTGAGATTCAGCTCTCGCAATATGACAAAAGTCTGACACTAGTGTTACTGCCTTATCTTAAGGGAGGCTTAAATTTAATTATAGATTTCAAACACTACACCCATTGCTCTGGACATGCTGCATGACAGCTTCGTGCTGTAGCTGGAAAGTGCTTTAAAAAAGCAATTTTTAAAGGGTTTTTTTGCTGTCTGGATGAATCAGACTTAATCATTTTTGTTTTTCACATTTTTGTTGTTATTTTTCAGTGATACAGTGCTGTGTATACAGAGAGATACTTCCCCCAAATGACATAGTGATTATCAAGAAAGTAATACAAATAACATAACATATTTTATATGTTTTTTATGAAGTTTATCTTTTTGACTTTCATAGCTAAGACTGAGGAGGTTTTAAAAGATATATCCTTCATTTATGCACTCTGAGTATCTAATCCTAACTTCTACACACAGATGAGGGGATTAGGGACTGGAAGCTTGCTGGCATTACAAAAAAATCATGATCCGTTCATTATTATATTATTATTATTATCCGTATCCTTATTTATTCATCACATGTTTTTTTTATTGCTGCCTTTAAATCAGGATTTGTCCAAATTCAACTGTGCAATAAAAAGTAGGAAGGAAGTTGATTAATGTCGCTAATGTTATTATGAAAGCATCAGAGCTGTCAAAATATACATACCGTCTCATGTGATTATCTGCATTCATGAGTGTCCTACAGCTGGGAGAGTTTGGTGGATTTGAGTTTTGGTGTTTACTTGGATGAGTCAGCCAACAGCAAATCTGTGTGAGTAAACATTAACATATTAAAGCCTGGCCGCCATCCTGTTTGACCTTACTTCTTTTTATTCAGCAAGTGATGTGTTTGCCTCAAAAGCTTCTTACGGGTTTGGCAACGACACAGAGTTAGTATTTCTACCCAAGTCTCTCTCTCTCTCTCTCTCTCTCTCTCTCTCTCTTCTATGTTTTACAATGCATCCATGCCAATTAAGCTTGTAACATGTTCCCTGAACCGTCAGCCCCAAAATTCTGCACGTAAGCATTTGATTCAGCGAGAATGTCAGACAAGCAACTCTGCTGATAAAGGCCACGTTGACTCCTTTACAATGTTAGTCTTGCCCCCTCCCCCCCCCCCCCTGTTTTACTTTACTAAATTTCTCCTCCACTTGGATTAGACATTCAGAAATAGTTAGTTCTGACAACGTGCAGGAAATCGTATGAAAGGAAGCTACTCCTTGGTGGCATTAGCCATTAGTAACAAATGGAAGTCAAAAGTGGATCAGACAAGTGCTTATTATTTGTTCATCTTGATTGGTGATTGAAAACTCCTCCGAGGCAAATCAGATCCATGTTCGGCTCTCCGGGCAATAAATGTTTAAGAGCGAACAAAAGTATCGACTCAAAATGAATTGCGTGATTTTTCTTGTCGGGTTATTTAAATACTCGTCTCCTTTTCCAGTAACGGCGAGTGTTCAGATGGAAGATGAGTAAGAGGCTTTGTTATCCACCTCACGTCATTAAAGCTCACATGGTTTGACACCTAATTACATGTCTTCTCCAACAACTCTCCGCTGTGACCCGAGAGGGGAATCTGTGTTCCAAGCACTCCTTCATCACTTCAACGCCCA